GTTGACATTCGGGACACTTTGAACCTGTTCTCGTCGGACACCGTGTCAAATGCACATCAACGTGCGCTGCTCGTGGAGAAGCAACTTTCAAGTTGATTGCCGTCGATGGCTTTCTAGCAGCAGCGCGAAGCTTCTGCGCTTTCTTCGGCGACCGGGCCGGGTAGTCAACAGGCTGCAGTTGGGCCGCATTCGGGCCACATCGGCGATTATCCTGCGGATAAGGGTTCGACGGGGGCTGTAGGGTTGGGCACAACAGCAGTAGCGGCTGGGGCGCGATCAGGAGGCGGACTAAGGTGCTTTGCGTGTGGCGAAATGGGACACCGGCAGGCCTCTTGCCCGTGCCGGGGCAGCTCTCGCGCTCTCATGGCAGACGCGAATACCGAGGGTGCCGAGGGAGTTTTGTATAATGTCATTCGCCACGTAGGAGTAAAATGACCAGTTGTAATATTAATAAGACACGTCGGCATGACAAGTCACTTCCGAGCCGGAAAAGGTAGTTCCGCCAACAATTGTCCTTATTTTGATTGAATTTAAAAAGTTAGAAGACTGGTTTTGAGAAACAGTAGTCCAATGAGACTAAAGGTGAAAAACTCAAAAACAACAAGACTAGTTTTGATATTTTTCCTGTACATCACACATGATATTCTATTGCAGAATAATCCCCATGTAATTTTAACTATATCCTACTTAGGCACCAGACCATACCCTTTATTTTCACATGTATCTTTTGTTTAATTATACATCATCTAACACTAATGTAAAATTCGTTCTAGACTCCAATTGATATGGCCGGGCCGGCCCCATCCGTCCCATCCGGCCCGACCCAAATATTATGATTTAGTAACTTTTATTTTCAATAATTGTATGTTGCTTTTCAGCTACTAGGGTTTTTCTGGGTGCAATTAAATTGTCCCAGTTCATTACGGGCTAGTAGTAGGTTGACCGGTTAGCTCCTAGTCTATATATTATTATCTCCTATTTTTAATATATGTCGTTTTGAGAAATTGCACACTAATTTAAATTTTTTTTTTTTATCAATAATAATCTTATTTAATGAAAATAGAGATGAATGTTTTGAGAAAAAGTGAAGATTGAATATGAAAAGACGTAATGTATTTATTAGCTAAATAAGGGTAATAATAGAAAAATATGTAGAAAAATGATATTTATTTGACAAATAATTGATAAAGCTAGAATGACATTTTAAAAAAAATAGGAGGGAGTAATATATATATACATATATATATATATATATTATGACTTTAATTTTTATATTTATTGTTTAGAATTCGAAAAAAAAAAATAGTTTGGCTTTTGTTGCTAATATATAATACTCAATTATTTATTTTATTTGAAACAAAGTACGAGATTAAAATTTCATAGAACTTCTCTTTTTTATATGTAGTGAAAAAACATTAATATAATTTTTACTTTTATTTATATATTGTTATAATTTGATTAAAATTATGTAAACACTAATGAAATTGAATGTTGTGTTATGATCAAATTTATAACTTTCGAAATAATATTTATGAATTGTTCGTCAACAGCCTGTTTAGCCTGAAGCGTGCTAGAGTTATGGTTAGATTCACGTACTGCTATCCCATCTAAATCAGAATTTTATTTATTTATATTTTCAATTATCCAGGGCATTGCAAGAACTATTAGTAATGATTTAGTAGGGAATTGCAAAAAACTTTTAGTAATGAAATGGTTAACGAGTTATGTTAGTTAAAATAACATTAAGTATAATTTTGATATATATTAGACACGTTCAAAAAACATGTATTTTTATGGCCAAATATGTTACTAAAATAGCAAAATATGAATTAAATCAAATACTTGTTGTTAATAAAATTATTACAGTCCCTAATTATTTTCTAATGAAAATGTACAGTTTCAAATGTGTGTACAAATACTTTATTATATCATAATAGAAAATTCAATGAAAATACTCCGATAAAATTCTAGCAGATATCCTAATGAAACATTCGTTCGCAAAATCCAACAGATATTCCAATATAGATCAAAACTAAAGAATTCTTCCATTGAAATTAAATTTCTTTAAATTTTAATTAGTTTTCGATGATTCAAACGGAACAATTTATTCTTATAAGAATTCATGTTGAATATGAAATTTTCATTTATTGTTTTTACTATATCTCAACGTTTCAAATTTTTTTCGCTCGATTCCATAAAATTCAACGAAAATTCTAATAAAAGTGAATTTTCAATGAAGGTCGTTCTATTGAATTTGTCGTTGGAATTCCATTAAAATTTTCAGTTGGAATTTTATATAATGCACGAGACCGATCGTACGTGGAATATATATTGTCACGTATCAGAATAATAATCAATTATATAAAAACTCTTTTAGACCAAAAAAAAAAAGAAAAAATCATAAAAATTTGTATCCATATGCATGAGACAACCAACCTTAATTCCTCTCAAATCCAACAACCCTTAAACTAGGTAATTAAATTAACTAAATTAAATATTCAAATATGAACCTTTCATACATGCTAAACTCACTTTATTAAAGTATATTATATGGTTAAAGTTATCATTAATTAGTGTAAATATCAGTGGGCAGAACAAGAAAAATCTACATAATGGTCGTCGGGTCAGTCAAAGTTAGCTGGCTTGTCCACGGCAAAAAAGACCCGATTTGATTTGGTCCAATCCGGCTGGCTATCATAGTCATCATCATCATCATGTATGACCCATTCACATACATCATACATACCTACATACATACATACATTAGAAAAATGATACGATCTCGTTACGGAATCATTTCGTCGGGATATGTTATCGTTAGATCAACTATCCCGATAATTATATGATAATCTAACAATTACAATCTCTGATGGAATGGGTACGTAATACATTAATCTAATCAAAACCCAATATGACCTCGTTTTACTTATTTAATATATTTTATTTAATGGGCCCCTTCCTAAATAAAAACTATTTTTCAATTTAATTTCCCATTGCCTATATATTACAATGCCTGCCTCCAATTTCTTTCCGTCTTTGAAAATCGTTCTAAAGTAGTTCACTGTGTAACTGCTCTGATCGGTATTAATATATAATTTTATTTATTTATTTATTTTCTGAGAGAATAAATATACAAAATTCGATGGGCGAGGTAATTGATTTATTTCAAATTTTCAGCATTTTATTATCGTCATAATAATATTTTCCAATTTTCACTAAATCAATCCGTTTTCTGTAATACTTTTCAGAAAGACGGAGAGAAGAAGGCGGCGGCGGAGGTAGGAGAGAAGAAAACGGCTGCGGCGGAGGTAGGAGAGAAGAAGGCGG